GTTTACAGAATTTTTATGATACTTTACTTCCTTGAAACTCCAAGTTCTACTTCACTCCTCAGCCCCTATGGTATCACACTTGAATCTTGCACTCCTCCAGCACACAGAGCCTGATATAAGGGATTGATTACATATTTAGGACCAAAAAAATCTGACACTTCTGTATCTGAGGTATTTTACAACTTGAGTGAGTATCATTTGGCCTGCAGGATGTCGTGCTATTCATTTTACTGATTGACTCTTAACACATTAAAAGACTGTTCCTCTTGCCCACACCTGTAGCACTACTTAGTCTCAGAATTTCTCTACAGTCCTCCACAGCAAACACTACTGCAAAGAACATCTGCGGCTTGTATGCTGTAGCAGCACCATTCTTGTGAATTTCCTGACATGCTGGTCACTTAATGGACTACAGACTTCCTTGCATGCTTCCCCCTGTCTGTGATAGACATATTATCTTAAGGTTTTAATTTTAAATTTGCCACCCTCTTCCTCAAATTTTCTCCGGTAGGAGTTCTGCTCTTTGAAGGATTACTATCATCAGCTTTCTTCATTCTATTTAACCAGTAGATTCCTTTATTTTTTTAAAAACATTTTTTGGGTACATGTTACTTCCTAGTCTCCAATGTGCTGTCTTTATCTGGTCTCCATGACCTATGCAAGACCCACCTTCATAGCTATACCTCTTCATTGCTTCTTATTTGGCTTCACTGAGTCTATAAAGCTTGCTTAAGTTTTTGGAAATGGAGAGAGTAAGTATTATTGAAAAAAATCGGGGTTGTGTTTGTTCATACAGGAATGCCAAATAACAGTATAACACAGGTAATGTTTACAATATAATTTCTGAGTGACATCTTGAATGAGACCCCTGTATTTGCTTAAGATTAAAATTTTCTCTTTGCACATCGAGGCAGATGATCAAAGAACATCCTCGACAGCTGAAAAAAAAAAAAAAATACTGTCTCTTTATCACATTCGGTTGTGAGATTTGTTCTTCCTCCTTCCTCTTGAGAGCAAAGGAAGTTTACTGCTATTACCATAACTTTTTCCTTATGTTCTCTCATGTCTTCGGGCATTTTGCAATATTGTCAGTATCCTGATTGTACAGTCAACAGCATAGCTACAGTATTAAACCACTCCATCTCCTAAGGCATATTTCAATCCACATCAATTAACACATCTTTCTTTATCCCATTCTCCTTAACCATAGAGCACGTTTCAAATAGAGCAACTCATCTGTAATGCACATCCTTCATATTTGCACCCAGATACTGCAGTCTCATTGATTATCTTCCTTTCATCAAGTTTCAGAAAACACTTACAGCATCAGTATGCTCATTTTAAGATAGGTATTTCAGTCTATTACCTTTTTTAAAAGGCACACAGCATTTTGATAAAAGCACACAAGACTCCACACTTAATCAGCTTCTCTATTTTTACATGCAGCATTTAAGAGGACTTCATTTGCTGGTACATCAAAATTCAAAGAGGCAACGAGAAAAAAAGGAACAAAAGTTTTTTCCTTGGGCTTTCATCACCCAGTGAAATATTATCCACACAAACTTTTCCTCTGCAGCTTTCAGTTTTCTGTTTAAGGAATTATAAAAATGTATTACAATAGAGCTAGTATTCTTTTTATATTTCATTACAGATTTTGAAATCAGAGTGTACCTCCAGCCCTCAGAACTGAAAAAAAATCCTTGCATTTTTCATTCACCTGCCCATTCACTGCCGCCTGCTACGCTTCCCAGTAGTTCTTCACTGAAAAAACATTCAGCCCCTTTGTAAGTTCCTGGGAGGTGTAACAGCTGGGCACACCTTCATTTAGCAATACTGTCTCTCAAATACTGCCTTAGGACAGCTCCTTCTCAGCCAAAGGTTTTTCATTAACCGCTTCAGCATCTCCACCAGCATACTACATCTGAGCACTCTACATTCATCTTCTCCAATACTACCAGACTGTTCCTGAGCATGCTTGAAAAGCTTGTTTCTTACCTGAGGCATGCCTTTTGCTCAGTTTTCACTCCTCTTCAAGATTTTTTTCTTTCAACTCCCCTTTTCTGTCATCATTGCTTAACCATTGCATCAATGCATCTCAACTGCAAGCTGAGACACCTGTTTGCACACTGGTCTATCTTACTTAAGGTCTGTTTGAACTTTTCTGGGTCTTGAAATTACTAACACCACAGCATTAATATAAACATTCCTACTTTGTCTTAGCATAACAGTCTAGAGAAAACTAGACTTGGTTAAAAAAAAACCAAAACAGCAGACAAATAACTAGCTACACTAACAGCAGGTGTTAGCAAATGCCTAATGACACACAAGAATATGGCAAACAGCAATCCTCACAGTCTCAAACTAATTTCAGCTCAGATGCTCTCTGGATGGGATATGGTTTCTACATATTTAGAAGTTTGCTTCCATAAAAAAAAGTGTTAGCATACAGCAAAATAGTGGTGTTCCATTTATTATCACATCAAATTGAACTACAGTGCAACCTTTCAATTCTGTTTGGCATTTCTGACATAGTTCGTTAGCTGTCAAAGACTCTTGGTGCCTTTTGTTGCATCCTCTTGAAACATCAAAGTTTTATAACCTGCAGCTATTCTGTCGCTTCATCTGACTTTGTATATGAAATAATGTAGTGGGCATCAGATCACTGGATTTGGCCTGCTTGAAGGGCGAAAAACTTAATTCACAGTTCAAACTAGGTAATATAATGTGGCAGCCTTTTATTAATAGCATGAAAGCAAGTAGAGCATGGAATAACTTTCTTATTACACTAATGACATATTAGATTACAGTATACTCATTTTTGTCACATTATGTATCATTGCTCCTAGAAGGACAGAGATTTAGAATCTTTGTCTAGCTTTTTAAGCACAATAATTTTTTCCAAGAGTTTGGAGGCTTCTTGGTTTTGTTGTTTTAAAAACTGTGATGAGTAACAAACTACCTCTAATAAATATGCTAGTAAAGAGAATTAAACTGCTTAATCCTAATTTTTCATTCTTGTTCTATTTCAACTTTCTATGGTGACTAGAAGAGATATTTGAGCATGAAAAGGTTTAGGAAGCAATCAATTAGAGCCTTCAACTTCAAGATTAGAAGAGCTTCATAGTTCTTGTGACACTGTGCTCAATCCTGCTAGTTTGTTTCCCTCAAAGTACTGTCTTTCTTCCCTGCTTCTTTAGAAAAAAATACCTTTGCAAGCACAGGTGGTGCTATACACACCTCAGCACACCCCAACCTGTAAAACTAGCACCTGAGCCTGTGAAATCATTAACAGCCACAAGAAAAGTGAAGTCTGAATATCACTACCTAGCAGGTGAGCAAAGTCAGAGACTGCTCACCAACTCTGCAGAGTCACTATATCAGAGAGAAAGCAAAGGACTGCTCCCCCATCCACCACAGGCTCCTCTACCGTAGATATCAAAACAATAAATCAGATGAACCTCAGGTGCTCACCCAGCAACGAGGTCTCTTAAAGGAAACCTATAAACCCAAAGATATGCCCACTCCCTCAAATAAAAACAGAGCTAAAAAAAACAGCTTGAAATTGCTTTCATTTGCTTATTAAAATCAACTACTTGATTTTGGAGAAAGAAAACTTAAGTTATTTTCCACATAAGCATTCACTGCATTTTGCACTTTCTTTTTATGCCTAAAGCTACAGTAGAGCTGCTGAGACTAAGTGCTCAACAGTTACTAAAATGAAATACTTTACTCTGTGTGTCACCATACCACCAAGCATTAACAGGTATCACACTACAGAGAACTGAGTGCAGTTTAAGGGCACAGACAAATCAGGAAGATGTCTAAGGTCCTAGGTTTACATCTTGCGAGCACATCTTCTCTTCTTGCCCTTTAGTCAACATAATCCGCTTTTGATTTGTTGTTCTAATAATGTGCTAGTCATTGGCATGAATATGAACAAAAATATGAAGAAGGCAAAGTGCCAGGCAAATGTTAAAAGGATATTTAGGAAGAAAGTGCACCTAGAGCAACACACCCATTAGGTAGGAAACCAAACCTGAATAATCTCTAAATTAAGTTATTTCAAGTACATAATCTTGCACAGTGGTGCTTTGGGTTTCACTCCTTGCACAGTGCTACTCAGCTACACTATGAAAGTAAGTTTCTTGCAAGGGCAGATATGACATGTTATCTCTTGCTATACAAATTTTAAAAACAACACTATGGGGTTTTTGGCAAATTCATCATTATCAACAACTGTCTCTGCAAAAGTGAGATAAAAAACCAAAATTACAAAAGACATTTGGAAGGGACTTTTCTAAGAGGCTTTTTAAGACAAAAGCACCCTCAGAATAAAGGCCAACTGGGCTGATATTAATTTATCTACTTAAGTAACATCTCACTTAAACTCAATACATAAATTCTCAGTGTGGATGTAGTGTCCCCTTCAGAAGATTGCAGTTAAATTAAAAAATAGGTTTATTTCATAGGACTGTATTCATACACTTGACTGGACATAGCTTTAAAACAAGTACTAATGGAATCAGAATTTTAGTGAGCCATGATAAAAGCCACGTAGATGCAAAATTCTGGCTGTGACGTTTTTCACTACTTATTCATTTACAAGAATAACAATTTAATAGATGTTGTACAGCATTATACTTCCCTTCTTTGCATCAGTGAGGGGGTTGAATCGAGCAGCTCAGTACAAGGGAGGCTGCTGCAGCTCCACGTCCCCAGATTCAACCAGGAACAAGGCTTAGCTTGCACTCGCTGTTGGCACACACACAACGCATGTACACACTTATATACCGTGGTCAGCCAGATAGATCAACACAGTAAGCCCTTGGCACACACACACACAGAGGCAGCACCACAGCCTCATCCTGCTCCCCTTTCCAGTCTCCACAGGATGGAGGTCCACCAGTGAGGATATATGTATGCATATGTACAGTGCAGATCCCTCCAGCAGTCTGCCCAGCAGGCAGCCCCAGGACTGCAGTCTCTCCAGTTGCTGTCACCTGGATATAAAAGCCCCCAAGACCATAGTCCCGCTCCAGCTGCTGGTACAGACTGTCTCTCATGCGCCCGCACACATAGCTGGCTGGAATCCCCTGGTCCCCCAGCAGCCAAACCCCCGTGGTCTCCCCCTTAGAGACAAACACACATGTAGGTCTCACTCCTTGAGAACCCCAGACCTCACTGACTCTCTGGCAGCTAGTGGGACTCCCCTGGTCTCACCAATAGCAAGCTCCTCCCAAGGTCTCACCTGTAGACATACACACATCTGTCTTCCAGCCTTGATCTTTGCTAGTGCTCACACACTCACTAGTACACCCACACTCTCTGCAGCTACTGGCACCACAGACACAGGGAGCCCCGTGACCCAAGGTCCCACTGGCTGGGGCTGGCACTTACATCCTCTCACTGCAGCGTCTGTAGTTGCTGGCACCACGGACACACAGGCCCTTCCAGCTGTGATCCCACTCCAGTCACTGCACTCAGACCCCCATCACACACACCCAGGAAAAAAATAATTTAACAAAGAGACAGGACAGGCTGCACTGATCTGGTGAAGGGCACAGACAGATAACCATACAAACAAGCACTCTATTTACATACAACCAGCCTTTTTTATCCCTTTATCCCTCTATTTTCCCCACACTTGTTCCTTCCCAAATGACCTAGATCCCTTCCTTCTTGGCCTTTGGTTTGTCCCTGAACATATCATAGCAAGTCCTGGGCTATCCTGAAATGCTCTCTTTCCCCCCCTCAGTCTAAAAGGTGCTCAGGCAGTGACCCATCTTGCTGGGTTTTGCAGTCTCTCCAGTTGCTGTCACCTGGATATAAAAGCCCCCAAGACCATAGTCCCGCTCCAGCTGCTGGTACAGACTGTCTCTCATGCGCCCGCACACATAGCTGGCTGGAATCCCCTGGTCCCCCAGCAGCCAAACCCCCGTGGTCTCCCCCTTAGAGACAAACACACATGTAGGTCTCACTCCTTGAGAACCCCAGACCTCACTGACTCTCTGGCAGCTAGTGGGACTCCCCTGGTCTCACCAATAGCAAGCTCCTCCCAAGGTCTCACCTGTAGACATACACACATCTGTCTTCCAGCCTTGATCTTTGCTAGTGCTCACACACTCACTAGTACACCCACACTCTCTGCAGCTACTGGCACCACAGACACAGGGAGCCCCGTGACCCAAGGTCCCACTGGCTGGGGCTGGCACTTACATCCTCTCACTGCAGCGTCTGTAGTTGCTGGCACCACGGACACACAGGCCCTTCCAGCTGTGATCCCACTCCAGTCACTGCACTCAGACCCCCATCACACACACCCAGGAAAAAAATAATTTAACAAAGAGACAGGACAGGCTGCACTGATCTGGTGAAGGGCACAGACAGATAACCATACAAACAAGCACTCTATTTACATACAACCAGCCTTTTTTATCCCTTTATCCCTCTATTTTCCCCACACTTGTTCCTCCCCAAATGACCTAGATCCCTTCCTTCTCGGCCTTTGGTTTGTCCCTGAACATATCATAGCAAGTCCTGGGCTATCCTGAAATGCTCTCTTTCCCCCCCTCAGTCTAAAAGGTGCTCAGGCAGTGACCCATCTTGCTGGGTTTTACTCCTGGACACTAGGGCTGAGAGTCTCCTGGGACAGCCCTGGAGAGGCCTGGACAGGGTTTTCCTTTCCTCCAAGTCCCTAATTTGGATTCTACCTGCCCACCATTTTGCCTCTGTACTCCACTGGCTTGTGGAGATAGGCCTTTGAGGGTCTGATGCCTCCTGGGATGGACCTCCAAATACAGCCAGGCAAGGTAATATTCAGGCACCTCCAATTGCCGTCATCTCTCTGCGCTCCTCTGTGCATGTGCAGACAAGCGTTTATCGCCTAAGATAGCACTTATGTTCACCTTTGAACACTTCACTTGAAAGCTCTAGGAACAGGTGAGATTAGAATGGTGTAGTAGTTTTGATACATTGATGCAAGTGCAATAACCAATTACAGTATTGCACCATTTATCTTTTCAAACCTTGCAATTCAAAACTAGGCATCCTAAGCTTAAGCTGTGTAATTCACCTGCCCCTTTTAAAGTAAGCAACAGTGGTAAACAGGAAAAGTTAAGCTACTTGCAGCTGGTATGAAATCTCAGCTAGAACACAGCATAAGAGTCATTTTAAAACATTAGGTAGATGTATGTTTCCTCTTAACTTGTCTTCAAAGTACAGACTTCTCAGCGCTAACACCTGGCTAATAGAAGTCAGATAGGGAGAAAGTGGTAGCAGGCAAATAATTCCACAGTGCTTTGACTGCCATCACTGCTTCACTTGCCCTGCAGCACACCAGGCCACTTCTGCCTGTCCTGTCAATGGACAGATCACTTGCTGGGGTCCTGCAAAAGAGATGGTGCTGAAAGATTAGAACCTTCATTGTAGTTGACCAGTTTTATCAGAAAGCCAAATCTACTGGGATCATTCACTAGGCAAATCCTAATTTTCACTGTTGCCACTAAGTTTGAGGGACCCTGGCCAAGCTGCTTACCCTGTCTAGAACTCAGCTTTCACATTGCATATGAAATGAACTTGTCCAGCTCACCCAGATCTAGAAAGAGAGACAGAAATTCACTAGCACTTAATTCCTTGGTAAGTCTTCAAGCATGTCCAGTACCCACCTAACTGATCTCCCAAGGTCAAAATTACAAGAATTCTTGCATGTAGTAAATGAGTTACATATTGGACTCTATTTGAGAGGGGCTATCTGTTTGTTTCTAAATAGCTTTAATTCATTTGATAGTAATTGTACATATATGATGGCTTATCCTTCCAAGAACCAGGCATATGAATAGCTACCTTCTTACAATTCAGTCCACAAACTGCAACACAGCCAGAATAACAAACTGAAGATTAATAACCTTTTTTTTGGTAATAAAACAACTTGCTTTGTGAGTGCTAACTAAATGTCTAAGTTTGTTCTTTTAGTCATCCTATTCACCAGGTTTTAATGGGGGATGTAGAACTATCAGTTGTATGCCATTTTCAGCTTTAAGATGCTCAGATGACCTGATGTGGTATCTTGCTCAGATGACCTGATGTGGTATCTCCATCTTTGCTTTTGCCATTTACTTTTAAGGGCTTAAACCAGTACAAACTTGTTCTTCAGAATTCTAAACTACATGCCAGACCCCACTGAGTGCCCTTTGATCATTTTTGGTCGCTCAGATTTGTCTTAGCTAAAAAAAGAAAAATAAAAATTAAAAAAAAAAATCAAGAACAATTCAGATACAAAACCAAAAATTTCAATGAACAAATGTTTGCTTGCCACTGGGAGACACTTGTCAAGCTCCACTTTCTCAGTAACAGGCCTGATGACTGGAGAAACAAGACCACTTTTCCCTTGAAGCAGACTCAGCGTATAATACTAGTTAGAAGGAATGATGCTTCACAGACAATATCACTGCTGGAGAACACAGAAAGGGAAGGCCATTCCATAAGACATTAGAAAGCTGTGCCAGTAATGGAGAGAATGAAGTTACTTATCCACAATGTGTAACAGCAGCATACAGGATGCATTACAACATAAAAGCTTCCAACATGCACATACAAGGAGTAGAGATTACATTAGAGGCACATCCTGAAATACCTCTACAGTAAAAACAGGGGTTTTTATTTTTTCAATACACAGAAGTAGGGTAACATCTATATGTACCATCACAATACGTTGCGACGGATTTATCCTCTAAGATTAAAATACAACTTTTTGAAGAGTGCAATACTGAATAAAGGGCAGTAACTGCCAAGAAAATGAACAAAGCTTCATTCATCACTCAGCCACACTTCAGAGAATTTACCTTTTACTAAATAGCACAGTAGTATGCAATACCACCACCAGATTCAGAAAATACAAAGGGGAAGAAACCTTAAATTGATTTTAGAAAATATTTTTTAATTCTTTATGCAGGCAACACCTTTCTCCTCCTCCATTTATTTCCACCTCTACTGCAACAATATCAGACCAAGAGTCACATTACTCTAGGTCAAGGTTATAAATATGATAACTGTAAGAAAGAGTCATTACTATCTGAGCAGTTGCCTCTACTGATTAGGCTTTTATCAATATCTCTGTAGTAGCAGATGAATCTAATGTTAGCACTGCGGTACACAGTAATATTGCTAATCAAGAGAACAAAACATACTTTACAGCGTGTTCATCAGGGAGACATCTTTCAAACAAACTGTGCTGCAATAGAAGCCTTCGGGGACTTCTGCAGAAACAACCAGAAAAACAATACTTACTTCTCTTAGTTTCTCACACTTCTTGGCTTCTGATACCTTCCAGATTCCCAGATATCAGAAAGTGTTCTCATCATGCAGGGAACAGCATTTTTTAATAAGTGTCCTAACAAACAAACTGTGGAACCAGGCCTAAAAGTTAAACCCAAGAGAATGCTTAAGTTTACACTTAAACTGATTAACACTGACAAGTGTTTAATTTTTCAAACATTTTAAATAGTTGAAGTATTGGCTTGGGGAAGAGTGGCTCGAAAGCTGCCTGGCAGAAAAGGACCTGGGGGTATTGGTCAACAGCCGGCTGAATATGAGCCAGCAGTGTGCCCAGGTGGCCAAGAAGGCCAACGGCATCCTAGCCTGTATCGGGAATAGTGTCAGGACTCGGGAAGTGATCATCTTCCTGTACTCAGCACTGGTGAGGCCCCACCTCAAGTACTGTGTTCAGTTTTGGGCCCTCACTACATGAAGTAGTGAGGTGTTGGAGTATGTCCAGAGAAGGGCTACAAAGCTGGTGAGGGGTCTTGAGGACAAGTCTTACGAGGAACAACTGAGGGAACTGGGGTTGTTTAGCCTGGAGAAGAGGAGGCTGAGGGGAGAGCTTCTTGATCTGTACAACTACCTGAAAGGAGGTTGTAGAGAGATAGGGGCTGACCTCCCTGGTGAAGAGTGATAGGATGAGAGGAAATGGATTCAAGTTATGTCAGGGGAGGTTTAGATTGGATATTAGGAAACATTCTTTCACTGAAAGGGTTATTAAACATTGGAATAGGCTGCCCAGGGAAGTGGTGGAATCACCAACCCTAGAGCAGATAGACTGGTGCTTAAAGACACAGTTTAGTGGTGGGTTTTGGCAGTGTTAGGTTGATGGGTGGACTTGATCTTAAAGGTCCCTTCCAACCTAGACGATCCTACGATTCTGTCTTCTGATTCTGATATGCAAGAAAAGAAGCATCTTCGGTTTCAAGGGAGGTGGTGGATTCGCCATCCCTGGAGGTGTTTAAAAAAAAAAGGGTAGATGTGGTACTTAAGGACATGGTTTAGAGATAGTTTTGTCAGGGTAGGTTGATGGTTGGACTTGATGATCTTAAAGGTCCCTTCCAATCTTAGCAATTCTATGATTCTATGATTTTAAGTATGAAATTAAAGTCCCAGTCCACAACATGATACATTCTGAGTGTTTTATATCACTTTTAAAATTTCCCTCTCTCCCTGCATCTCCTCCACACCTAATTGCAGCTCTTCAC